GTAATTCATGCATGATTCATATTTCGTCAATCTATCCTGTGTTTTCTATATATTAGTATTTTCTACAAAGCCAGGATGTTGCCACTTTGACTAACGTTACCTCGAAGAAAACTGCCATGATATTATTATTACATGAACGAAATATTATGAATACGTCTGTCGTCTTTGAACGATATTGATATTTTTTTGCATTTATATTTTCATAGTCCTATTCGTCTTCAAACTCATCGTCCAAGTACATCATGGCGCTTGTTTCTGGTCTCGCGACATCCACGATACTTTGCGTCGACGACGACGCATCACGCACATCGTCCTACATGAAAACATAAAAATTATCATCACAAAATAATATATATATATATATAAACGCACATAATATATATAGGTTTGAAATAAAATCTCAGATAATAATATATATATATATAGATATATCCAAAGAATAGCTTCGTATTGTCAACCTACCAAAGGAATACCAGACAAGGCAGCAGCGGTAGGGTCTGGCTCACTGGAGCGTCCACTGCCGAGTACTATCCCATCTTCAAACTCATTGTCATATGCTGGCAACAAGCTGCCCGCCCTCGTTTCTTCGGTAGTAAATGGCGGAAGCAGGGGAGAAAGTAGATTGTGGATGGTCGATGGGGGGGCTTCTAGCTGGTTGTGAGGAGCAACTTGATCATCCTGGGCGGACCCACTAGCCTTGGTTTTATCGGGACTGGATTCTACTATATTTGGGGCAGTTTCGGGGCTAGTTAGCCTAGCTTGGTCCGCGTTGAACTGGTCCGAGTCCATCTTGTTTGGCTGGTAATTACTGCTTCTGCTGCCATCATCAGTGTCATCGTATTTGTGTGGTGTTGAAGACTCGTCGAATGTATGGGCACTTATTGTACGCCGTTGTTGGCTGCTGGGGTTGTCCTGATATCATGGGAGAATTAATCCCGTTAATCGAGTTCATTGCAACCAATAAATCTATATAGAGTCCTGCAAACTAATACTACTAGTTGGGTCGCTTTGATGTATCGCGGTACTTACAGGTAGTTGATCCACTTCTTTGGACTCTGGCGAAGCAACTACGTCAGCCACGCCATCGCCACCTCCAGGTTTGGCTCGACTTATGTCGAATCCATCACTGCCATAAGCCAGCTCCACTTGTGAAGCAACGTCGTCATCTGATTGGCGTTCTGGAGATAGTTGCTGTCGCCGTAACTTGACTTTATGTCTAGCCAGTGACTGCCGCGTCATGCATTGGATGCGCACAGCCGCCATATCTTTTTTCTGATAGTTTTCTTTTTCTTCTTGTCGCTGCTGAGCAACTTGCTTGGAAAATTTCTCTCGACGTGTCTGCACCTCTTTCGTAGCCATGCGCCGTCTCGCCAAGCTTTGAATCTTCACCGCGGCGAGTTGGTTTGGCTACAATATATATATATATATATAGT